ACATCACACGACAGTTCGAACATTGATAGGCACTAGAGGTGTAGGTATAGGGAGGCACATATCGTGAGAGTGATAGTGAAGAGGAAACTTTAGATGAGGATGAACTTGCTCCTCACCCCATTGCCAAAAATGAAGTTTCACCAATGAAGAAAGATACAGAAGTAGATAATGACGGACATGCGCTTTTTTATTTTGCCTTGAGAATCCACCATCAAATAAAGTGTCAGCAAAAGTTACAAGGAAGTGCAAAAGCTATGGAGGCTGAAACAATATTCGCAAAACCAGCGCAACGCTGAGGTTTAGTATACAGCAGGATACTGTGTGACGGAGATTTCAAATCTCATCAGATGCTCAATTTTTATGACATTTATGACTTTAAAATTGTAAAAGATGACTATATAAATCGCATTAGCAAAAGTATGTTCTTGTTCTTGTAAGAGTTTTACGGCACTTGCAACGCAATAAGGTCATATAAGTGCCGAAGATTAGAGATTTACAAGAGAGTAACAAACATTAAAAAGAAGGAGGGGAGATAAGGATGATAGATTTTTTATAGGAAAGAATGAGCAAACCACACCAGAGCACCCGCCAACCACCCACAAAAGTATGTTCAACGCCCTTCAGAGCTTCCAAAATACCAAGAACGAATACCTGAACAGAGAACCCGCGAAGATTGAAAAACAAAGCAGTTACAAATAACTGACAAAACCTGGACGTAACAATTACTTGTGTTCAATAGTTTTAATTTTGCTTTTGTTCATGAGCTGTTGGTTTCTTATCGAGCACAAACACTCTTTTGCACATGGACCGTGTAAGATTTTGAACACAATTATCTGTTAGTGAGGAACAGAGGCCACGAAACTGTCACGATTTCGGGTGGTCTGGGGTGGATTGAACAGAGCCACCCTCGTGAGAATCACCGGATGCCTTGGTTTAGTGGACTACATCGCACAAGTGCTGGAACGTCATGTCTTGCCCTTATTTTCGTCATGATGTCATTCAAGTAGCCATCCTCAAGCTAAACAAGGCATTTTCCCACAGGGCCAATGCCATTAGAGCATTCTTAAAAACCAAATCAAGTCAACATTTGAGTGGTTACCAGTAAACAGCCCCGATGTGAATCCTACAGTTATGTGAAGTCCCATGAAACAGTGGCTGGGGAAACACTTTTCCCCCAGTTCAGACCCTTTGTTTGCAACTCTCTGTGACATTTAAAATGAAATGACAGATAAATATGTCCAAAATTTCATATAATCGATGCCCAAAGGTTTGTGCACAACTCAAAGCCAATGGTTCCTAAGCAAATTAACAATAAACACAATTAGTGTTGAGTCCACGTTTTGTGCGGTATTTGTGATCTCTTTGTTTTCAGTTATGTTTGAAACTATCGTGACAAAATATCGTAATCAAATATTGTTTATTGCAGAGACAAAATTCTCCATTCACTGGGCATGCAATACATCGCCTTTCGATCAGTATTGATACTCTTCAGTAAAGGCGCAAAGACAATTTTACGTTTCTCTGATTTCGCACAATTTTGTCAAGCCTGATTTTTTAAGGTAAATTTTGAGTGACGATATCTCGGGCGTATGTTAATATATATTTAATATTAATGTGTCAGATGATGAAGAATTTATTCAGCTTTAAATTGGTATGCTGCATGAGTGGGTAATGCAAGGCTTTCACACGATGACTGGGTGATTACATTTTCAAATTTCTTTTGTACGCAACTGACAGTAAGTTTTGCGCGTCAAAACTTTAAGGGCTTTTTTCTCAAAATGGGCTCTTTCAAGGGGGGTGGGAACGCAAAAAATCTATCATTAGAAAAGTTCTTAAGATATCTTCATAATTTTTGGTATACTGATAGATGAAACATTATTCTAGTGTATTAAGTAGTGAAGTTAAAAAAACATCTTGAATAAAATATTTTATTATAAATTTAATCCGTTGTTCTGATCTGAGATTTTCCTGGTTAAAGTATTTCCCTAGTTTGGACCTCGATTCTGAAAAAGTTTGTCCTCCTATATCAAAAATACCAAGTCCATCCGCTAAAACAGCCACATAAGGCTGCAAAACCACTTATTGTAATATTTTAAAATCATTTATAACCTCTGGATAGATTTTTTAGAAATATGTACATTTTCTATATATGACTTCCAATATGGCAGCCGTTACCATAGCAACTCAAAAAGAATTTTCAAAATTTTTCTTCATGGTCTAATTCTCCACTCTACATATATTGATGCTACAACATTTGTAAGCTTGGTTTCTTCTTCTTAACGAATTTGAAAATTTCCCCCGCATCATGCCTTAATTCTATTCTTCAAAATCTTCTATTGAACCGGACAGATGTTCTCCTAATAATAATAATAACGATAATAATAATAATAGATTGCGTTTATATAGCGCTCTATCCCATACTAGTATAAGCTCTGACTCCAATCGCATAATCATTCACACAAGAAAAATAATATTCCACAGAAACAAGAAAAACCAGTCCAACCACATAAAAAAGTGCTTTCAATAAAATACATTCACCATATTGGATTGGAAAGAAGGACACCTCGTGAAGCTTCCAAAAAAGGGGGATCTCAGCAACTGCAGCAACTACAGAGGGATCACTCATCTCTCAATACCAGGTAAGGTCTTCAACCGAATCATTCTGGAGAGAATCAAGACAGCAACGGATCCAAGACTACGGGATGAACAGGCTGGTTTCCGGAAAAATCGCTAAACCACCGACCAGATTGCCACGCTGAGGATTATTGTGGAACAGTCCCTGGAATGGAACTCCCAGCTGATCGTCAACTTCCTTGACTATGAGAAGGCTTTTGACAGTGTAGACCGAGCAACACTATGGAAGATACTGAGACACCACAGAATCCCACAGAAGTTGGTGAACCTCATTAAGAGCATGCACGAAGAGACAAGTTGCAGTGTTGTACATGATGGCCAGCTCACTGACAACTTTGACATCAAGACTGGTGTGAGACAGGGATGTTTATTATCACCGTTCCTCTTCATATTGGCAGTT